GGACCAGAAACGCCTTTTGGTACCAGAAACACCCCTGGGCGTGTCTTTAAGCTGAACTTCCTCATGGCAGAGCGCACCACACACACACACACACACACTGAAACGGGGCGGGACAGAAGCAGAAGGAGGTTCTTAAAGAGACAGAGGCCAATTTCAAGGCGTTTAGAAGAGGAAGTGATGAGAAGATAAGTTTATTTTCTATTTAAACATAAAAACAGCATTTTAATAACAACTAAAGGTGAAATAGATACTTTATTATGGTATAGTATTTAAATACATGCCTGAGAAACACATAATATTGGCCCTTTAAATTCAATTGTGGGGCAGAAGAGACAAGACTGTATGTAGTAAATGTTGCCGTGGAATCAAATTTATTTAAAACAACACCATTCAACCTGGGTTAGGGTAGTATCTCACTGAGCTGCAACTAGTCTTAAACAGCATTCACAAGAGAATCTCTAGAACGTCTCAGTTTCCTTGTGTGAGTCATAGAGGCTCACAGCTTTATTACTGACTTTTAGACATGTTAAAAGCTCTCTTCGAGGCTACAGCCACAAACGTCCAGGTCTAAAGTCCAAACCAATGATTAACAGGTATTAAAAACAAACTGGCCCGAGTTTGTTTTCTTCATATCAAAAGTGAATTCCAGATTAAATCCTAAATGTAGGAGCTGCTGCCAAGGTGGCTTCAAAGTGAGATTGGATGTAATGTGAGCAGTTAAAAAAATATGCACTTTTACAAGCCGTGCACATAAATACAAGAAAAAACTGTCTGCTCAAAGTCAAGTCACAAGCACTCAGAATTCTGTGTAACTAAGACATATTTTCTTGCAAATTTCTTGCAATTTTACATTCAGTAAAAGTTCAGTTACAGTTATAGCCCTGTGAGATTTGACCCTAACGAGTCCGTTTACAGGAAACTGTAAAGAGAACAGATGAAGAGCGATAAGGCAAAAATAATTACAAAACACTTGAATGAAGCATTGTTATTGTAAAGGAATAAGTTTTTGACTCCACCCAGGTGTTAAGGACATGGTGGCACTGATTTTAATAACTTTAACATGCTTGTGGAATGTGTTCTGTAAGG